CCCCATCAGGATAAGAACCCCACCGGGAGTCCCCACTGCTCACTCTGCAAGGGCCACTCACCAGGCCACGCCTCCCATCTTGGGCCGGGCCCAGCAGCCTAAACTTCACCATGTCTTGCAGGTGTACGTGTCTGAGATCGCTCCCCCAGGCGTCCGTGGGGCCCTGGGGGCCACACCCCAGCTCATGGCGGTATTCGGGTCACTGTCCCTCTACGCCCTTGGCAAGTATCATCCAGACGAGCAGCGAGCACCTCCTGTGTGCAGGCGGGGGGGGGGAGGTAACAGGGTACCGCTGCTGAGCAGATGTGGGTAGAAGGGCAGTGAGTGCGCCCCGGAACAAACCCTGAGCTGGGGGACAAGACGCTTGCTCAGCCACCACTGTGCCGTGTACCTCTAGGCAATGCCTTGCCTCTCTCTGGTCATATGTGAAGTCCATATGGAAAAGGGATCAGAGCACGTCTGCTTGAGACGGGGAGGGGGGGGTTTGGAGATGGAAGCCTGGGGCCTTGCCTGCTCAGTCTAGCCCCCCGTCACCCTGCCAAGGCCCTTGAGACCCTCCAAGGACCTTCTGCTGTGTGCTGGGCCCTGTGTTAGAGGCCAGGCAATCCCGGGAGCCCCTCCTGGTTTAGACCACAGAGGCCTGGGGCAAGCAGGGTAGGCTTCCTGTGGGAGATGGAGATGGCCCTGGGACTAGCGCTTGAGGACGGAGGAGGCTGCTCAGAGGCACCGATAGGAGGGGACGTACGTCCAGCCTAGACGCCGGCTCCTCACCCCATCCTCGCCCGCAGGCCTCCTGCTGCCGTGGCGCTGGCTGGCTGTGGCCGGGGAAGGGCCAGTGCTCGTCATGACCGTGCTGCTCAGCTTCATGCCCAACTCCCCTCGCTTCCTGCTGTCGCGGGGCAGGGACGCGGAGGCGCTGCGGTCGCTGGCCTGGCTGCGCGGGGCCGACACTGACATCCGCTGGGAGTTCTCGCAGATCCAGGACAACGTCCAGAGACAGGTGTGGGAGGGTGGGTGCGCGGCCCTGTGTGGCCCAGCCAGCCACTGGGCCTCTCTGAGCCTTGGTCGCTTGTCCTGGGGAACGGGGAAGACAGCGACCCCACCTCTAAGAATGAGGGGAAGGGGAGATGCTGCCGCCCCTGACCCAGAGCACGGGCTCCAAGCCACCGACACCTGCCTTGTCCCACCCACTCATCCAAGAGCCTGGGGCTGGGGGGCGGGGGTCCGTGGCTGGATTGCTCGGTGCACAGTGTCTTTTCCTGGAGGAAGGGAGGAGTCCAGGGCGGGGTGGGGAGCACGCTCAGCAGCAGCTCTGTGTTTCTAGAGCACCCGTGTGTCATGGGCCGAGGCCCGGAGCCCCCACGTGTACCGGCCCATCCTCATCGCTGTGCTGATGCGCTTCCTGCAGCAGCTGACGGGCATCACGCCCATCCTTGTCTACCTGCAGCCCATCTTCGAAAGCACCGCAGTCCTGCTGGTGAGACCCCGGCCCCACACCACCCCAGCTCTGTCCACGGTACCCGCAGAGGCCGTCCCTTACTGAGCACCTCGGGCCAGGGGCACATGCGCCGTGTGGAGCCCCCTCGGATCTCTCTCCACTGTTGTGCCATCCACCCCTTCTCAGAATAACAGTCGTCAGCAACCTCATATGTTTTCAAACAGACAGGATTACTGAGGAGCCCACTGTATAGAAGTGCAGGGCCCTTGGGGGCCGTGGACCCCAGGGTTCAGAGCATCGGCCACGCCCCTCCCAGACCTCAGCTTCCGCCTCTGGAGAACGGAGATAGCAGAGAGGAGGCCTCCATCAGCCTGTCCTGGGCTCAGAGGGAGATGAGATTTAAAGATTAGTGACAGTGCAGTCCCACAAGTCGCTGTGATGCCTGGACTCTCTGCTGGCCTTTGCTCGGTGGCGGGCGTGGCCGTTGTGCCCTGGCCGAGAGGCCCCGCGGGCCCAGCTAGGTGACCAGAGGAAGCGCCCAGCACCATGGCTCAATGTGCCCATGGCTTGGCGCCTGGGCGCCCTGCAGCGCCTTGTGGGGGGGCAGGTGGGACAGGAGTGGCAGGCAGGGTCCCTCAGCTCCCGGTGGCCCCCTCCCTGCAGCCCCCGAAGGATGACGCAGCCATTGTGGGGGCCGTGAGGCTCTTCTCTGTGCTGATTGCCGCCCTCACCATGGACCTGGCTGGCCGCAAGGTTCTGCTCTTCGTCTCAGGTGAGCCCTGGCCCGCCCCCTGCCCCTGCTGACCCCTGCTGCAGCCCGCCCACGTGGCTGGGAGCTCCGGGGGGAGGGGGGGGGAGGCTGGGTCAGACCTGCCGTGCTGGCCTTACCCCCACTAGTGCCCAGCACGGGGCCTGGCAGTGACGAGCTGCTCCAGAAAGATCTGCTGGGGCCTGGGTGAGCAAGCGAGCCAGCTGTGAGTGGGTGTGACAGCAGCTCACGCGCAGGCAGGGTCAGAGCTCTGCAGGAAGCGTCTAGTCACTGACAGGCCATGACAGTGGCCTTGGATGAGAACTGGGCCACACAGGGCGCAGGGTGCTGGCGAAGCACCCAGCTCAGACGGTCCTGGCCCCTCCGAGGGCCACCTGTCTGTCCACAGCCACCATCATGTTTGCTGCCAACCTGACACTGGGACTGTATGTCCACTTCAGTCCAAAGCCTTTGGCTCCCAATAGCACTGTGGGCATGGAGAGTGTGCCCTTGGGGGGCACGGAGCAGCCCCTGGCCACACCCACCAGCTACCTCACCCTGGTGCCCCTGGTGGCCACCATGCTCTTCATCATGGGTAGGTGTGGCAATGACCCCAGCAGCACAGGCGGGGGTGGTGGGGAGTGGCTGGGGGGGCCGGTGGCCAGCTAGAGAGGGGCTGTCTCGGGCTAGGGTGCGGGGACGTGTAGGGCACGGGCAGGGCCGCGCTGTCCGGGTCTGGCAGGGTGGCCGGGGAGGGGTCTCGGCAGCTCAGTGGAGGCATTAGAGGCCCCACGTCCCCTCTGTCGGCAGGCTACGCCATGGGCTGGGGGCCCATCACCTGGCTCCTCATGTCCGAGATCCTGCCCCTGAAAGCCCGCGGCGTGGCCTCGGGGCTCTGCGTGCTGGTCAGCTGGCTCACCGCCTTCGCCCTCACCAAGTCCTTCCTGCTGGTGGTGGTGAGTGCCGGGGGCTGGGCTCGGGCTTCTCGGGCACAACCTCCAAGTGCCACAGAGGTCCTCCCGGGCCAGGGCGACCACGCCCCGTGGGCCACACTTGTCCACGCGCACTTTGGGTCTCTCAGCGTGGATCTCTGCTGGACAGTGCACATCCAGCTCTGTGCGCGCGTCCCCCATGCCTCTCCTCTCTCTCTCGGTTCAAGCCCCTCCCAGGGCAGCTCGGCAGCGCCTGTCCTGGTGGAGGCTGTGGGTCAGGGCAAGGTTGGGGGCACCCAGAGCATGCACAGCTCCGACAGAGTGTCACAGACGAGCTTGGGGCACGGCAGGAGGGCGTGTGGGGTGTGGTCCTGGCCAGGGGCAGCGAGGGAGAGAGGTGGGGGTCTGAGCTGAGGCTGAGACCAGAGGTCCAGGTCCCAGGTCCGGGCCAGGGCGGGGGAAGTCCTAGGGGCCCGGCACCACAGGGAGGCTGCCCCAGACCTCGAGGGCCTGGGGCTGGGCGGGATGACCTGCTAAAGCCCCTGTGTCTCCCACGGGGAGGCAGTGTGGAGCCCAGTGAGGCCTGCGGGCAGGCGGATAAGCAGGTGCGGGACCCCCTAGGCGCATGCTGGGGCAGGACGATGCTGGGAGCCCCTGTGTGACCGTTCCCTCCGTGTCCCCAGAATGCCTTCGGCCTCCAGGTGCCTTTCTTCTTCTTTGCTGCCATCTGCTTGGCCAACCTGCTGTTCACTGGCTGCTGCGTGCCTGAGACCAAGGGCCGGTCGCTGGAGCAGATTGAGTCCTTCTTCCGCACTGGGAGGAGGTCCTTCCTGCACTAGGCCAGGGTCCCCACCTGGGAGGGGCCAACCACTGGACGCCGGGCCTCTGTGCTGGCCACAAGCCTGCACCCCAAGCCCAGGGGGCAGCAGCAACATGCCATCAGACGGAGCCCAGGAGGATCAGACAGAAGCAGGGCAGGCCCCCAGAGTGTGCTTCTGGCTCTGGGCAGGCAGCACCCCTGTCTAGCCTGGGCCCCAGCTCAGCCATGTCACCTGCTCATCGGCCAAGACCCGCTGGCAGAGGAGGCAGCCATGGGCCACAGGGGAGTACACGGCCCCGGGTCCAGGACAAGGCCCTGCTGGGTGACCCTGGGACCTCGGCCCTTACTCATGTGCGGAGGATGCCCCCGCAGAGGGCTGGACCAAGGACAGAGCCGGACAGGGCAGGAGGCGGTGGCCGGGTCCACACAGGACGTCGTCATGCCATTCTGTTCTGACGCTGAGTCACCACTGAGCGTCCTAACTACGGGCGGGAAGACAGATCTGCACTTCTGGAAGCTGTGGATGCCACAGAGAACATTCTGGACTCCCAGGCCAGGGCACAAAGCCCAGCACAGACACTTCCTCCTACACCTGCCCGACCTCTGGAAACGGGGCTCTGAAGTGCCCTGGTCTGTAAACCATGTTCACCCCGTCTGTAACAATAAATCAGGCTCTCGGCCCTGGAGTGGGAGGGAATGGGGTCTGTCACAGGTGGGGGAGCCCACGCAGCATCCAGGCTAGGCCAGACCCAAACTCTCAGCCAAGGCTGCCAGGGCCTAATGCCCCGGGCAAGGCCCCCTTTGTGGCCGCCCCTGACTTGGCCGCGGGGAGGCAGAGAGAAGGGGCAAGGCGGCCTGGGAGAGCCCGGTCACAGGACGGCCCCGGCAGACGGGCTCTGGCTCCTCCCGGCTGTGTGACTGCGACAAGCCACTTCCCTGAGATGCTGCCAACAGGCCAGCAGCACTGAAGGTCCGCAATAAAATGGCAGTTACTCCCAGGACTAGAGGTCCCGGCCCCCTTACTCGCGGCACCAGGGAGAAGGGGGCAGGCAGAGCGCGAGCGAGCATTCAAACTACCGCCAGGCTTTATTGCTCAAACCACAAGTGAAACACGGACGGTGAACGAGGACCCCAAGAAGACAGAGTCCAGACCCACCGAGGTGAGAGTGGGCCCTGGCAGCCCAGCCCCTTCTGCCACCCGGACACATGTCCCTTGCGAGGCAGCAGCCCACACGGGCGGGGGGGGACAGGATCCCCGGCTAGGGACCAGTAGGCTGCACTCACTGGGAACCTCGGGCACGTGACATGTCCATTCTTGCCTGTGACTAAGAGGTCGGAGGGCCCTCCCACCACCCACCACCCACGGGACCTGCTGACAGAATGGAGGTGCAACCTTCCAGGACACACAGCCAGCCCCTCTCCTGCAGCAGAGAGTCCCCCGCCAGCGAGGCCCCTGCAGCAGGGGCAGGAGGGCTGGGCAGAAGGGACCCCTGGGTCCCATTTCCCAGATAAGAATGAGCCAAGAGGGGCGGGCAGGGCCCTTCCTCCTCTTGGGAGGTAGACAGGTCTTGATCACAGCACACACAGCAGACACACACATCCACACCCCCCACCCGCCTGGAGAGGCCTGAAGCCCATAGCCCTTGGAACCCAGTGCTGGCTTGAGAACGGTGGTCCCAGAGGACCCCTGAAGGCACGTGTCCTGCCCGCTGGCCATGCTGCAGGGCCCGTGCTGCCCTAGGGCTCGGCCTGGCCGGCTCGCTGGAAGGCTGGGGGGGGGCGGGGGGGCGCGACCCAGACCAGGATCCCTGGGCCAGTGAGTGCCGCTCCGCAGGGGACACTAAGAAGCCCCAGGAGGAGAGCCCCCTCTGGGAAGCAAAGATCCGGACACAGCTGTAGGGCTGGTTTCAACAAAGCGGGGCTTGGCCGAAGCTCGGGGCTTGGAGCAGGCGTAGCTTGGGGCCGTGGGAGAAGGATGAGTGGAAGCTGGGCCCCGGACGGAGCCCTTTCCACACCAGCCCGTGTGTACCCATCACTGCCCGGGCTCAGCCTTAGCAGCTGGGTACCGATGGGGCTGGCGGGGCAGGCAGCGGGCTGAGGCAGAAGCGCACAGGGGGTGCAAGGAATGGTGGAGGGAGGGAGGCTGGGGTGACAGTGCACATCCCCGGCAGAGCCACTTCCTCAGCCCCCCACCTCCGACGGGCCTGGTACCTGGTACGGACAGCTCACGGGGGTGGAGGTGGCTCTGGCCTCTGCCCAGCTCCCCAGATACCTGAAGCTCTCCGGAGACAGAGTAGAGGTCAGGCCGGCAGGGGTATGGGAGGCGGGTCGAGTTTGGCCCCACCGACTGGGCTCAGGCCACAGCCAACACGGCAGGAGCACACGGACACGTGGACAGCCCACCCCGTGGGGCAGGGGAGAGCCTGCCCTCCCCGCTTCCTTAGCACCAGGGCCTTGGGGGTCGTCGAGGAGAACCCACGAGAAGTCTCCCGGAGTGGCCCAGTCCAAGGTTCCCGGGAACCGGGGGAGGGGCGCTCCCTAGGCAGCCGTCCGGCTGCTGCCCGGGCCCGAGGAGCATCCTGGGAGCGCTGCGGGCCCCCACGGACAGCAGAGTGGCAGGAGGGGCCCGCGCGGCGGGAGGTGGCCTCGGGCAGCAGCTGTGCTGATGGAGAGCGAGAGGAAGCTCACCCACCCATGCCCGGGCCCAGGGCGCCGTGCCTCCCAGCTCACGACGGGACCAGCGTCTCCCAAGGAAGCTCCTCCTGGCCCTGCGGCCCTGCGAGCGGTGCTGATCTGGACGCCCACTCGGTGGCCCGTGTCCAAAGGAGCCTGGCTGGCTGGGGGGGGGGGGGGTGCAGGCAGGCCCTGCTCTGCCCCAATCCTGCGGCCTGGGTCACCCCGAGGCCCGGGCTGCCAGCTGCCACCGCCCATCTCCATGCTGCTAAGGCCCGGGGCAGGGGAGACAAATCTGGAGAGAGGGAAGACAGAAGAGGAGTCCAGGTGTAGGGACAGGTGTAGAGGGGCTGACGGGAGCCAGGCAAGGGCTCCTCTTCCAGGGTCAACGCTCCAGGCCTCATTCCTGCGGGACGTGCTCACACAGAGTCTGAGGGGTGAGCGGGAGGGAGCGGGTCACCCGACCTGCCTCACAGCTCTCCCTCCAGGGTGTCGGTGAGCTTCTCCTCATCCGCCTGCTGCTTCTGCTGCTGGATCCTGGCGTAGGAGATGGCATCGCCCCTGCGGAGGGAGGGAGTCAGCAGCACCTGGCACCCAACCCTCCCACCCACCAGCAGACACCTGGCTCGTGACTGAGGCACAACCTAGGGACACCCTACTGGGCATCTGGTGCCCCCAGAGACCCCACTGCTAGGATGGCAGGTGTGTCACCTCTAAGAGCGGCACAGGCTGCCCGGGCTCTGAGGCACGGCGGCAACTGGCTGGGATGCCAGGCGTGGGCGCTGGACGCAGACCTGCCGTCCCCACAGCCAGGCCACCAGGAAGTCCACAAACCCACTTGCCCTCATTCCCTTCAGAGGCCAACACCCTGGGGACAGCCGCTGTGCCTGTTCCCACAAATGGCCAGCAGGGGTCCCTCTCGGACCTTCCGCATGGAGAGCCTTCAGGAGGCGGGAAGTAAGCATCCCTCCCAGGGGCTGGGAGTGGCAAACGCACTTTTTGCCCAGAGCCGAGAGTCCGTACAGCACCCCGGTGGCGAAGGCGATGGCGTTACCCAGCAGCGTGGTCAGGGTCAGGCTGATGACGATGGGGACGATGGCCATCCTAGGAGAGAAGGGCAGGTCAAGGCGGTGCCCCCGCCCTGCGGCTGCCACGGGACTTCCTGGCTCCCCGGACTACTCCCGGCCCCCTTCCCAGAGAAGCAGGTACAGGAAGGGTCCCCAGAAATCAGTGCAGACACAAGGTCACAGCCAGGCCTTAGACCCCCACACGCTTGTCTGCGAAGTTCTCTGTACTCTGAGGAGTGGACCCAAGCCCTCCTCAGACCTGTGAAGGGTCTGTGCTACCCACGCTAAAACAGCACAGGGATCGTGGATCAGGCCGACGGGGAAATCTCCCGGCGGTTCACCCCCAGCGCCTGCGACGGGGCAGGTCCCCGAACTCCTCCCGTGGGAACTACACAACGTAGTGTCTGGAACAGCATCAGCACCAAATAAACGTTGGCACTTCGTGGTGCAGTGAAACCAGCCCTACCTCAACGAGAGAGATCCTGAAGCACAAACCGCGTAAGGCAAGGGGTTTCCTCCCTGCGCGCTTGCGTCCCCAGAGCCGCAGCATCGGGTCCCAGCCACGACTGGGTGCCACCTGGTGGCAGGGTGTCTGGGCTTGAGAGTCCATGGGGCTGACGCTAGATTCTGGCCGGGATTTCCAGACCAGCGGCAGTGACCAGGGTCGACGAGGCCGGGAAGACACCGCAGCTGGGGGACCAGAACTCTGTCCTGGCGCTGCCCTGGGCGGGGCCGTCTGGCCCGCGGCGTCCCCTGGCCACGCACACCCCGCACTCAGAGGTGAACACCGGGCGCCAGAGGGGCCAGCTGACGTCCACCTGCCTCTCTACTCAGGCGGGACATGTGACCAGGAGGTTTTACCGCCGTGGTTACAAAACCTCTAAGTGGTAAGAGAATAATGGAAATTACAAGGGGGAAAAAAAGACCATGGGGAAAACCTTCTGGCAAAACAAAATTAAAGGCAAACCGGCTGGAAGAGTCTGCAGGAAATACAACAAAGGATTAAGAAATCTCCTCTCTATGGGGCGCCTGGGTGGCTCAGTCGGTTGAACATCCGACTTCAGCTCAGGTCATGATCTCGCGGTTTGTGGGTTCGAGCCCCGCGTCGGGCTCTGTGCTGACTGCCAGCTCAGAGCCTGGAGCCTGTTTCAGTCTGTGTCTCCCTCTCTCTCTGACCCTCCCCTGCTCATGCTGTCTCTCTCTCTCTCTCTCTCTC